GTACCCTTGCATTTACTAACAAAAATATTGATTTCCTAGATCTTATCATTTAAATATTAATGCTACATGTAATTAAACATCACTAAATGCAGTGAAACAGACCAAGCGATTTTCTCCAAATTTCATTCTTTTAGTCACTGTGTTAGCATTTCTTTTATGTAGCACAAACTCAAATTAATACCCAAATTGATTTCTTCCAGTGTCCTTTCCTGATCAAAGAACATCATTGCTGGCACCCTTTGAATTCCCCCCATTTCCTCTTTCAAGGTCTCTTCAAGATCCTTCTTCTTGCCATCTGTAGGTAGCCCCATTGCTTGGCATTCCTCTCTTAACTCTTCCAAGTGTAGATTTTTGAAGGGTTTGAGTCCCCCATTTCTCTTCTTTCTGCCTGCAGGCCCTTGAATAACTTTCCTTAAACGATCTGTTAGTGATAACAAGGGTTTAGAAAGTGAAACAGATAAATACTTGTACTTTTTAGCATCACCACTGCAGCCCGAACAACCAGCATTTCCACCCTTCTGTTCACCACTCTCAAATTCCTGCTGTGGGCCATCACTGTGAAAACGTCTCGTGACATCTGTGATTTGAACTCCATTTGATGTCACCACATTGTTTTTCAGGCCTTGCAAACATGCCTTTCTGGTATTTATATATGCTATTTGTTCAGCTTCTGCTGACCCACATCTTGCCAGGATGTAAACTTGTGGCCATTCTACAAGCGACTGTACATCAACATTTCCTTTTCCTTGGTCTTCCATTTCTTTATTTGTGAAGTAAAGTGCCTTGTCAAACACAGCATTCACAGTCAATAACAGATAGCCATGGTTTAAAAGGGTTGAGTTGTCTGCCCAGACCATAAGATGTCTTGTCCTCTCAACATGTTCCAAATAGTTTTTCAAGTCATCCAAAGTTGCAGTATTAAGGCAACTAGTATGTTCATTTAGTTGTGCAATCCTTTTTTTAACTTGTTCTTTGGTCATAGCAGCATAATCTTCATCGGTTCGGGCATGCATGAGTCCTAACTTTTCATGTTGCTTGAGTGTTTTGTCTCGGATGTCTGACAGCGGTATTTTTCGACCTGATACTGTGAACAGTTCTGTCTTGATAGTCACATCTTTATCAAGGACAACTTTCTTGTATGTTTCGGGTACAATCATTTCCCCAAGAATATACTCTCCACTTTCACTTTTACACTGCAAATAAAGTGAAATATGTAATATAATTATGTAATATATTCTTCATTCATTGACTTTCTTAACAGCTGTATATAAGCCTTTGGCATGGCTAATCTGTAACCAGCTTGGTTTCCATGCCATGCCATATTTTTCCAAATAACAGTGCAGGGATTTTTTTATGATTGAGTTGTTATAAAGGGTTGTATATTGAAAAACCTACAGATGTACAAGGGAAATCAATGATTAGAATTAACAATCATCCCAATATGTAGTTAATATGTTTCAATAATCAACAAGGACTGAGCTTGCAATAGGGATGATAATATTAAAAAGGCAATTGTTCACTAAATATAATATTCTTGATTCAAATCAGGTTTAAACTATAAATAATTATAGAAAAGCCATTATGCTTGTTATTTTCATTGGATAAAATTGATGTCCCAAACGTTACAAAACACTTCCAACCCTTAATGTTTCCCTTATTTGATCATTTGTGCGTGGTAGTGGCACTGATATCTCTCCACCCTGCGTTCGGTTCTGCCTCCGTCTAGCAGCAGGAGTTTTTTCCCGAAACTGTTTCAATCTGGAGAGTTGTACATTGTTGGTTTCTAAGAACTCTTTCACAACTATGTTCCCCAACTTTGTTTGCTGCATCACTCCATATTGGCAGGCAAGTTCAGAGTAATTTTTCTTTACAGGAAAAAACAAATCTAGGGATTAGATAAGTTTATGGACAAAAATCGACTTCTTGTTGTAAATGTATACTGCATTAAATTGGTACACTGATTTAAATGCTTAGTCCATTTTTTTTAAATTTTATATGATATTATTAATGTCTTTTTCGTTTTGGCTAAATAATTTTTAAACTGAGATAAAATCAAAAGTACTTTCTATTAAGCTCTTCTTAAGTTGGACATTACAATGCTTGTAAATGAAGCCCTCTTAAATAAATACGGGGCCACGTAGTGTCTAAGTTTTAAAATAATGCAGCAACTGCATGTCACGTTTCGAAAATCACGCAATGTTACGTGACGCTCCGACCGATATTTTTAATTTACAGCATGCTCTGNAGACATTCCCAGAGCGAAGCTTCCTCGAGAAAACGTTGAAGAGTGTACTGTACCACAGCTTAGACGATGGCTGTTGTGTAGAGGAGCGAAAACAAGCGGCAAGAAAGCCGATCTTGTCAAGAGGTTTGCTCAGCCGATGTTTTTGTCATTGATCATTTGTCAGGGTTTGTTATTTTGACATCGTTTGCTTTACGGTTTATTTTAGATATAACGACTATGTCAAGGGAGGCCTTCATTTAAAAACCTTACGAGATCCGGATGGAGGTGTGCATCTTGCGCGAAAGAAAGTCTTACTGGGTTTAATAGATGAAGTAGACCCTCCACATGTTACTGATATTTTCCCTAAGGCTGGTTTCCATGAGGATCTTACTGATTTGCCACATGTAAGAATTCTTGGTCGACCTAGTTGCAAAACTGGGGGGCAATCAAAACATTTTCGATCATAATTTCCATAGCTCATGTTTTTCGCTGCATCCTTCACCATACCAAAGCAAAGCATTAGTGTTTTATGAATGGGAAATCCAGTGTAAAAAGCAATATCTGAGTCCTTATCTTTGAACTGATTAATGTAAAATCTAAGTAGTCCCGTTTGGGTGGCAAAATTTACTTTGACCGCTTCATAACATTCAGTTTGCAAAGATTCATCTTTGTTGCGTACTTGTTCTGTTTGCATACCTTGATCACTTGTGAGCAGCACATCCTCCGTCTGACAGAGATCACTTTCTGGCAAAAGGTCTTCGGAATGGACTTTCTTTACAATTTTTTCGGAAGAAACACGCTTTAAAATACGTCGAGTTTCCACATGCTTAGACCATGGTAAATGAAGCCTGCTGCGCTTATGTCCACCCACAAAGTGATCTCCACAAATACGTGTATTATCGGCGTGGATTTTTAATGTTGCATTACGAATTAGAATTTTGTACTGTTTTCGTAATTTTTTGTCCTTTGGAATTCGGTGATACGAAAGCCCATCCTTGGTTCTGTAATTATTCGTACATCCAGGAACACAACAATTACCATGCTTTACCATTTTTTTCTTTATTGTTTTGCGAAAACTTTCCTCGCTACCGCCATTTTGAAGTTTCGCGCGTCCACCCAAACGATCCCAGACGACCCTACGAGTCAAGTTCGTGCCCAGATTCCCAATAGTTTCTGGAGTGGGGAATTGTCATCGGCAGTTTTAGTTCGAACCCCCGGTTCCCCTCGGGTAGATTCCACACGAGGCCATTGTCTAAATCGCCCAATCAAATTAGCGCGGCAATATTTACGAATATTCAAAACAACGTCGTACGCCTTTAAGCTGATCTCGATTTCTGAGCTAAAGACAAATGTTTTCCCCAAACAAGCGTGCTTTTGACGATGGTAATACAGAAAGCGCGGTTTCCATCCAGACTGGAATATCCCTTCAGACGATGACTATGGGTCATTTTCATTTTCTTTTGGGTTTGGTTTTTACCTGTGCGTAGCCTTCTCTTTTTGAACCGGTCAAGATCAGAGAAACTAAGTTGGGCACAAAATTTTGGTTATTTACGGTGACAAAAGAAGATGGATACTCTGCTGGGATGAGGAGCTGTTATTACTCACCCATTGTGCCCAATTCCCACAGAAGTATTCCAAAGGACCACCTACCGAAGAAGACAAAAATGATCAGATTAAGTTACTTTGTATAATCCCGGTACTCCGTTAATCAACTGATATCTCTGAGTTTAGTTCTAGGATGGTGAAAAGAATATGCAAATGATCATGACGCTGAACTAGAAGCCAGTGGGATGACTGAGGCTGATAATTAAAGTGGGAGAGGAATTCTGGTCTTTAAGTTCAGTTCAGACATTGAACAGAACAGAACTTGTAAAAATAAAAGACAAAAAAAAACAAACTTTCCCTCAATAAGTGCTCTGCTCAAATAAGTACTCACACGTCACTTTTAGAAGTATACATGCCGCTGTTTAGCGACTCAGGTGCCATCCATTTGATTGGCAGTTTCTTCGCGTTTTTTACTTCATATTTATTACACGACTCGGGCAGTCAGAGGGCCAATAACTAAAATTAACCAATCAAAATGCTCTATTGCCGGTCCAATATTCTCTAAGTATTGGACCGGGCACTGTCCCGAATGGTCCCGAATGATACCGCACTTGTGTCCCTTTGGACTTCAGTCGTATAATAAATCTCTTATTAACCAAGCTTGCTCGGGAACGTACTGGAAGAATATCGGCCCTCAGTCTTTTTTGTACGGACCTCGCTGCGCTCGGTCCGTACTGTCAAGACCTCGGGCCGATATTCTCCCAGTACGGCCCTCGCGCTTGGTTAATAAGATATATATATCTCCATACGTGTGACGTAACAGGCCAAAGTCAGCAATCTTCACAGCTTTCTCTTCACCAAGAAAGATGTTCCGTGCGGCCAGATCGCGGTGAACAAAACCTTTACCAGTTAGGTATTCCTGTTCATAAAGGAAACAAAAAAAAAACATGGTCCTCACTACCCACGTCTCATTTTTCTTTGTGTTATTTTTTTCGCAACACGGCCAAGGAGAGCATCAATAAGACAGCTTTCTCAACGCCATTTCCCAAGTGTAGATTTGAATCGTTTGGATATCAAAAATCACACGTTTAACTGAATTTCTTACCACATTTCTTATCGTTTGCTCCAGTTCGTAGCAAAGTAATTTTTTTGGACAAAAAGCATTCGGCTTTTGTAGCTAGGATAATAGGAAACGAGTTAATTTTTTCATCTCTGGAAAGTGACTTGCAACATCAAGATCCAAGATATCATCGATTTAAAAGACCTACCATTCCCTTTGCTATCTGCCATGCAAAACAGAGTACATCTTCAACGGTGAAGTCAACTGCCTGCGCACCATCCGTTTCCTGTTGTTGCTCCAGGTGATCTCCGGAGGTTGTGGCAAGGCACATGTGGTTTTATATGAAATGGCATTAGCTCTCTCTTCTTCAATCGAGGACTTTACTTCATCTCTCCCTTTATCTTCATTTTTTTTTTTGTTTACTGCTGTATTGATGTTCAAATCGTCTCAGTCTCCTTCACTACAGGGCCGGAAATTGGGGCTAGAATCTTTCAAACTAAAGTTTGTACTGGCAGTGGGTAAAATCACTTCCGTCTGACTCAGGTGGCCTAGTTCACTGGACTGTTGACTCAGTAATTTTTTTTCCCCTCCGAATCCAGATGGAAACTCAGGTTGGGAATTTCAGATTTGAAGTACTGTGGTATCATTCCTATTCTCGTCTATGAAAGGCTGTTCTATAGTGATTGAAATGCCCGACGTGAGAATGAAGCCTTCAGTGTTCTTCGGTAACTTCCCGCGTGAAATCCTGCGCAGTCGTCAGTTTCTTTCCAGTGTCATGACTACGTTCTTTGACTCATCAACTGAGGCACTTTCATTTGAACTCACAGTACTGTCTGATAAATCGTCCACGGAGTCAAGAACAACACCATCAATGCCGTTTTTGCATTTTACCTGAAATCGATTGGCGATGACGTCAGAACATTTTCAATTGTCAATTTCGAGAACAAAGCAGTTAACAGAAACGTCAAACTATTTTGAATTGTAAAAGTTGGACCCATTACTTTCGATCACAGGTATTTGAAACTCTGTGAAGTGAAAAAGTGAAATGAATCATCAGCACCCGTTAAAAACCCGCGTGGTATTTGGCAAATCAAACAGACCTCCGAATTCTGAAGTTGTTTGGACGCTACTTGTGCTTAACAAGGGATCTAAGTGGTTTTTCCAGTAAAACCTAGTTTTGAGGATGCAAATTCTGCCTGCTGTCCTTTGCTCCTCAGCCACTGAAGAAGATCTCCATGTCGAATATATTCCAGGATTAGCATGATGGGCTCTGACTTTGTCCAGTAGCCAATCGTGCTTAGCACAATGGTGTGGGTACCAACTCGCTGCATAAATGAAATTTCTCTGAGAAACCGTTCTTTCGCTTCCTCGCCAGTTCTTTCTGAAAGGGTTATGATAGTACAGAGCAAAAGTAAGTCCTCAGTTAGACCACTGAAGCTTGTATTCGCCTAATGACGATGAAGAATGGTCGGAATGATCCCAATACATTTGTGATTGCGCACCATGTAGCAGTTTTACAGCGACTTCTCTTCCCTCGTTGATTTCCACTCTTTCCTCTTTTGGCTTCAACCCTCGGCATTTCTTTTAGAATTCCTTTGTGTACTTTTCCAAACGCTCCTCTGCCCAGCTCCTCCATAATTGTTACACGTTCCGGGGGAATCTCTTTTAACAGCAAGGGAATGATTTCTGACTTCGATCTGAAGAAACACAAAGATTTTACACTTCATTTTGTTTACAAGACATCACAGAGGCGACTGAAACTAGCTTTTCCAGAGAGTACATTCAATTAAATGCATGTTAATTGAGTCTAGCCTCTTCGAATTCCCTGAGAAAAGGTAGTCACTTGCTCTCTCACTCACTCACTCGCAGATGTAGTAATGCTCTAGAATGAAATATTCTGCGTTCGCTTGAGTGAGTTAGCTTACAAATGTCTAGAAGAATTTTTTCCCAACCTTCTTCTCTTGTGGCCTCTCTTTTTTCTCTTTTTTCTCTTCTGCCTGTAGCAAAGGATTCCCACGGAACTGAGAATAAGAAACCCACATCCCACGGGTACAATGGTTAGGCTTCGTTCACGATGATTATCAGTGATCTGACCAATTTTTAATAGCAATTCGTTTGTGGCGTCACTTTCTCGGCTCCCAACTCATTTCAAGCAGTCACTTTCAGAATGTATTCAGTATTACACTTGAGGAGATTCCTTGAAGTAGTGTCCGCGGTTACATTGATTTCATGACAGGAATCCTCTTCAGTTGTACATTGCACCTCTCTCTCTCTCTCTCTCTCTCTCTCTCTCTCTCTCTCTCTCTCTCTCTCTGTAAAATACTGAATACATGGTCAACGTACAGCCGATTTCGTGTGGACTACTCCATTGGAGGTTCACATCACATCCAGACATCTGAACACATTTATCTGGAAATGAGTGATAAAGGATTTTTCAAGGTCAAGGAGCACAGTTAAAACACGGTGATCATCGGTATGTGACCCGTTTACCGACTTATATAAGCCGACAGATGGTCAGATTCTTCCGCGTGAGTGTAACTAAGCTCGCGAGATTCATTGATCTTGAAATTTTTAAGTCTCTGTCGTTAAAAGTTTCATCTTTCCAGCGTCAACTAAGCAGTATAGAGTCATTCGTCACAGGATGTATGGGAGTCCTCGAAAACATAATCTCAACACTTGCATATATCTTTTAGTTTCAGAAAACTTATCTCGCTATTTAAAACAAATCACGTCAGTGTTTGGTTCTCGTTTAGCCGAGGGATTCTTAGAGGATTCATCACCTACACCTGAAACGTAACGAACTAACTTTAGCTCCCTGTAAAATCGTAGACTCCTTTCCTGCGTCTCGACGAACAGCCGGATCCTCTTTTTCTCTTAAGAGGTAGAGGGAAAACTAAAAAGAAACGAAAACTCTCCTATGGAAGATTTTTCTTCCTTTTCATGGCATTCAGGAATACAACAACTCGTGTACATAGCGAAATCGAACAGAATAGATCGAAAACGACGCATTATCTTTCCAGAGCCGCACTCTTAAAACAAAACCCGAGGCCTTACTGGTCACGCTGTCCTGCAACAAAGGCCTGGGCCGACCGAATAACGAATGCAAGTCGTCGCGCGGACTTTGTCTCTTTGTAAATGTTTCTAAAACGATATGTTAGCTTTAGGACTACGTCTAATTTGACGCTGTGCGGGAGGTCGAGGTCGATGGCATCTATTAATTAGTTAATTTGGTTAGGCAGGGGATGTTAAAGAACCCACTCACGAGATTACTGTGATGTGGTCTGGCCTGTTTACTGGGAATTGGGGGGGAGGGGGCATCTTCAAATAAGTTTCCTTCGATTGTTTGTAAACTGCTGATGCAGTCCGGCCAAAGTCCCCCGAAAAGTGTTGTGATGCGCATTTGATCATATCCACATGTTAATTTGCGCAATATAAATATTAAATTATTATTATTATTATTATTATTATTATTATTATTATTATTATTATTATTATTATTATTATTATTAAGGACGTCGATCATGTATCATCAATTTATTTGCTGTTCTGCTGAATGAAGCTGAAGCAATATATGGCAGACATAAGATGAATTCTGCTACTCATGTAGAACAGTTGTTAATACCGAAGAGATTCAAGACTTTTCTCTCAGCTAGAGACTTTCTAAACTTGTTTTAATATTTATATCTTAATCTGTCTTAATTTTGTTTGTTATCCTGTATTTTACTGATTTTGTGAAATAAAAGATCATGTATTAAAAAAAATTATTAAGATTGTTAAAATATAATTATTATTATTATTACTATTATTACTATTAAGATGTTTTGATGTTTTGGAGTGCAAGAAAAAGGCGCTGGAGCTTGTTTCTTCAGAGAATCCTCCTTGCAATGAGAATGGAAGGAAGAGAGGATATATTGGTGTTATGAAAGAGTTGTGGGATGATATGGGATACAAGAACTTACATTTGAAGAGCCAAAACGTACGGGACCAAGGTTCGAGGCTAGAGAAAATAAGAAATAAAGGAACAGATCTAACCATCAAAGAGAGAAGGGTCACACATTTGGGGAATATCACATTTACAAGTGAATATTCTAGTAAGGAAAATATTGAAAATGAAAGTCAAAACAACCAAAAGGATAGGGAAAATGGAAATGCTAATTATCTAACAAGAGGCTTGAATTTACATAACGCAGAGCCACAGCAAACCCCAGAGGAAGGCAGAGTTACAATGGGTGATTGGCCGGATGTTTCTGATGATGTTCCTGGGTGTTTACCCGATTATAAGACTATCAACTTGCCAGTATCGGTTATTTGGGGCCGAAATTCCAACGGGGAAATTATAACAATCACCACTGCTACGATTGATGATGCATCCAATGAAGTAACAACTTGGAGAAAAAACACTTTCTTAGTTCCATACGATAAAAATGGTCGCTACTTTATCGATCAGTTAACGAAGCACATTGACGATTGGAACAATGGATCACCCATGCAACACCTTGCGCTAAAAGCCGTTATTGTTCTTCTCGCTGTTGCGCTACAAAAACCTGGTCAGAGATCGAAAGCAAAGGAACAATAAGAATGTCTTGAGAAACGATTAATACTGTGGAGAAATGGCGAGATCGAGTCCCTATTACGCGAAGGGAGAATAATCCAACGGCGCTTATCAAAGTCGAACAAGAATGATCCACCAAATGAAGCACGCATTTTTGCAAAGTTGGTCATGGAGGGCCAGATTAATTCGGCCCTGCGATATCTCAGTCAAGATGATAGCAGAGGAGTATTACCGCTGACCAGCGATGTTGTGAGACAACTGAGAGAAAAACACCTTGATGTGCAGAGGGCCAAGCTTGGGTCGATGATGTTCGGGCCTGTGGAAGATATACCTGACTTGGTGTTTCAAGGAATTAATGAAGAGCTTGTGAGAGAAGCTGCATTAAGAACTAAGGGGTCTGGCGGCCCCTCGGATGTGGACGCCAATGGCTTCGAGAGCATCTTGGCGTGCAAGTCTTTTAAGAGATCAATTATCAACCTATGTGAGTCTATTAATACACTCAAAAGAAGACTATGCACGGAATTTGTTGATCCGCTGACCATTGAACCTATCGTGGCCAGTCGCCTTATTCCGCTTGACAAGGGTAACGGTGAGGTGCGCCCAATTGGTGTAGGCGAGGTGATTAGAAGAAATAATTGGCAAATGCGTCACGAGAGTCACAAAACAAGATGTGATCAACGCTAGTGGGGCCATGCAGATCAGCGCTGGTCAAAAGAGTGGCGGGGAAGCCGCAATACATGCCATGCGCAATATCTTTGAAGGTGATGAAACTGATGCCGCCTTACTAATTGACGCCTCTAACGCCTTCGATTCACTAAACAGAGCGGACGCGCTTAATAACATCAGAGTGCTATGCCCATTGTTCGCCATCTATGTAACTAACACTTATTGAGTTCCTGCGCGCCTTTTTGTGGTTGGTGGTAGTGACCTTAAATCTGCAGAAGGAACCACACAAGGAGACCCCTTAGCTATGTCAATGTATGCAATTAGTCTACAACCGTTAATGTCGTTACTTCAAAATCGAAGCACTGCAAAACAATGCTGGTTCACGGATGACGTTACTGAAGCAGGATCCCTAGAAGAGGTTAAGCAATGGTGGGATGAGTTGAGAGAGGCTGGTCCGACCCTTGGATATTATCCTAACTCCAAGAAATGCCGGCTTGTTGTTAAGCCGGAAAAGGAAGGCCACGCGAAGGAAATGTTTGCAGGGACTGGTATCAACATCACCACCGAGGGATGCAAACACCTTGGCGCTACGCTGGGCTCTCGGTCTTATCTTGAGCAATATGTGGGTAGCAAGGTAGAAGAGTGGGTTAAAGAAGTGACGAGGTTGGCGGAGTTTGCAAGATCTCAGTCATAAGCTAGTTACGCCGCATTCACATTTGGGCTTCGACACCGGTGGACGTACTTTATGAGAACACTGCCGGATATTGAGAACCTACTGCAGCCTTTAGAGCATGCAATCTCGAATGTACTTATACCGTCGCTCATAGAACGTAACTGTTCAGAGGAAGAGCGCAGTCTAGTAGCATTACTGGTGCGTATTAGAGGCTTTGGGCTCATTAATCCATCTGATACTGCGGATGCGGAGTATTCAGCGTCTGTTAAGGTAAGCGCTCCACTTGTAAGCAAAATAGAGGCACAATCCCAGGAGACCCCAGAAGAGGCCGAGGTACAACGACTGGTATACGTCACCCGGAAAGAAAAAGATGATAGACTAAAAGAAAAGCTCGAGGAGGTGAAGGCCTTATTACCAGACAAGACACAGAGAGCAGTAGACTTGGCCTGTAAAAAAGGCGCATCCAACTGGCTTACAGTTATTCCTCTCAAAGACATGGATTTTGATCTCAACAAGCGGGAATTTCTGGACGCTGTGAGGCTTCGATATGATTGGCCAATACCCGATAATCCATCAGTATGTGTTTGTGGGAGCTTGTTTACAGTGGATCACACGAGGATCTGCTAGCGTGGAGGCTTAGTCATTCAGCGACGAAATGAAATACGCGATATACAGGCCGAGCTGCTCGACATGGTTTGTTATGATGTGCAGGTGGGACCGGCTTTACAACCTATTACAGGCGAAGAATTTCCCAGAGGGACTAATCAAGCCCCTGACGCACGCCTCGAAGTTCACTGTAGGGGTTTCTCGGAGCGAAATAGGGCTACCTTTTTCGATATAAGGGTGTGTCATCCCAATGCAGACTCATACAGAGATCTTAGCCCCAAGCAGATTTACAGGATTCATGGAAATGAAAAGAAGCGAAAATACAACTCCCGTGTAACAGAAGTGGAGCAAGGTACTTTCACCCCACTGGTATTTAGAACGACGAGGGGGGACTGACGAATGCCTGAGGTACCACTCAAGATTAGCCGAGCTATTATCTGCAAAAAAGCAAGAGAGCTACGCCACAACAATTTCATGAGTCAGAGCGAAAGTTTCCCTTGCAATTTTTCGGAGCGCGCTCCTATGTCTAAGGGGATCTAGAACCCCGAGAAGAAGGAGGAACTTAGACATTAAAGACTGGGATCTGGAGGTAGAGAAGGGTCGAGCAAGACTTCCTTAAACTCATCAGCTATAGATTATTTTTATAGTAAATTTTTCTTATTATTCTTTTGCGTTGAACTTTTGAAGAATTTGCTGTCGGAAATCATGCGTAATATTGTGATCATTAGTCGTTTGTTACCTTTAGCGTGATTTTCGCTATGTTTGATCATAAACAATGTGACTTGAGAAAATGTCAAATGACACGCCCAAAACCAATGATTGACAGTGATAAAAGATGTAGCAGAACACGTGAGCGGAGAGGAGACTTTGGAACAGTGACAGCGAGGGGAGTTGTTGTTGATTTCGTTGTTAGCGTTCGGTTATTGATAATAAACGAGAAGAAATTGGGATTTATGTGAGCGTGTTGGTTCAATCTTGGAGGCAATTCCCAACATTGCATTACCTTTGTCAAATCAGCACATTATAATTTTATTATTCATAGCCATATAATTATGTAGTTTAGGTCAGTGATATTTTTCCTTAAAGAGCGCGATTTTAATTTGGGAGTTTTTACCAATTTAAAAAATTTTCTTGTTCTCCACAAATCTTTACAATCAATTGAATATCAAAGTAATCGTCGACTCTTTCACACCATTGACCTCGAAATCGAAATTCGACAAATGTCACCCCTCTCTGTCGCAAAGGTGATGCGTTCAAATCCCATATGGGCCTGACTTTTTTTCCCGGTTTATTTTCACTACTGCTTAATTAGTGTTCATTACTGCGAAGATCACTCTCATATTCATCAGGATCATTTTGTTATGATTGACAAGTTCATGTGATCTGCTATGATCTGCTATGTGATCTGCTGTGATCTGCTGTGTGATCTGCTATGATTGGCAGCCAGTTCAAAAGCTGTTAGCGGGAAGCCGGATAATTTACTGATCCATGTAGAAAACGAACTTTTCTTGCTGGTCTCTCCCTCACTCTCTGTACATAACTTTTTACCAAAATTGGGACTTGTATCATGGCAATGGCACCTTTCAAAGGGTGGAAAGTTCCAACAGTTTTTATCCATACGTGAACAATTTTTGTTTCAGTCCGTGTCAAAAGTCAACTCGTCTTTCCCGCTTCCATTACTTGCACATTGAGAGGGTTTTGATCAAGGGGTTCGCCGTTTATCATAACTTCGACTATATAAATACCTGGTACATTAGCTACAAACTTAACTTGAAAAGTTCCGTTTTCCTCTTGGTAGATTTTCAGGCTTGCTATCTGATCAGCAGGCTCCATGCGTACTTCAGCCTGAACTTTCTGCTTTTTATTTCTGAATTCATCTTTGTGCAGTTTTGGGCAAATCGATATCGCTCCTTCTTCACCAGCTCGGAAACTTTGGCCGTCTAGCGTTGATTCATTTCCATCTATATTGATTGTTGCGAATCCAAGGTTCAAACTCTCAGGTGACCATGTTGGAACGAATTGGACAAACGGACTGACGGAAACTGTTGGTACTTGAGTTTCACTGAGCTCTTTTAATCGCTCTTCTAAATACTTTTTGCTTTGTTCGACATCTGAGGTTGGCCTTCTCTGCTGCAAGTCGTTACCGAACTCAACTGTTTGGTTTATTTGCCTGAGCAAAGACTTGGCAGATTCCCTTGCTGAACTCAGTTTTTCGATCCTCGACGCGCGCGTGTTCTCGAGGGATGTAATGGCTTCACTCTCGAGTGCTCGAACCCTCGCGATCATTTTTTCCGCTGCTTGAGAAACTTGGTGTTTCGCAGCAGCCAAGCTGCATTCCAAATCTTGTTTATTCGTCTCCATTTGACGAAGAATTTCAGTGTAAGTCTCTCTTTTTTTTTTCATCGCCTCAACTTCGGACATGATCTTGGCTTTTTCGGCGTCTGCTGCCTCGTCAAGCGGCACAACATCGTGGCTTCTGTGATCCGTGTCATTACAAATTTGACAAATACAACTTTGACATTGAAAACAGTAAAACTTCAATACTTCTCGCTCGTGTTGCTTTTGTGAGCAAAATAACGGCCGTTTTAACAAGGCTTCGTAATCCTCTGTTATAAACTGTTTCAAAAGCGTCACTTTATGCCCTTGAAACGCAGTTGTGCGGAACAATTCGTGAGCTTTTACGCAATCACAGCACATAAATTTCTGGCAATCAAAACAGTAGCTCGTTTCGGCACTGTGTTTCCGACATATACTACAATCTACTGCACTTCCTTCACTATTTATTCGAACAGCAAGAAGGCTCAATAAGTTTTTGTGTTGAAAACTGCTCGGCAAATCGGTGAAACGACTTCCTTCAGGGATGTCAAGGTCTGTCTGGCACTCAGGGCATCGATAGCGTCCCTGTTTCTGAGTCGCCAGAGCATGTTTTTTCAAGCATTCACAGCAGAAAGTATGAAGACAAGCTATAGTCTTGGGATCTGTGTAGGTGTCCGAGCAAATCGGACATATAACATGTTCGACAAGGTTTTCCAGAAGTGCCTCCATTGCAACATAGCCTCATACATAAGTGTTTGCATTTTGGAGAAATTTTAATATATTAATTACACGCATTCTATTTTTAAGTCGTAAATCCGATCAATGGACGACAGTCACTGAACAAGCGCGTGTTGAACCAATCGGTCACGCGTGGAAAAAAAATACGCAAACCGACGGCAACAGGAAATCAGAACGTGTTGGCTAGCCGTCCTGTACCCAAAGTTTCCAAAATTGGTTTGATCGGAGAACGGGAACCTTGATGCGAATTATTTATCTCAGTTCTGCTTACATATTATATATCACACTGAGGTTGAGATATAGCTCTGTTTAAATCGGTTTACACATCTAGCCATTTGCGAAATTATTTTTTAATCGACGTTTTCCACGGCTTTTCATTCCTGAACGCTTAGGTCCCAATTATTCGACTTGGATCGCCGCTTGTACAGCGGTAAGATGATGAAAAATATCAAATAGCGTGATCGGAAACCGGCCATCTGTGTTGTACGTGTGTAAGGTACATCATGTCAATTTTTATATTAACAAAAAAAAAAAACTTATCTTTAGAACAAAAATTTAATTAAAAAATCCTATACCGTTTTTACAAATATGCTTTTATATTGTATCTTTTATACATTCAGTCATGGTATTGTCATTATAATAGTTTTTTTTTCTTTTCGGGACTGTTTCAATAGTTCTGCGCCATATTTTATTTTAGAAGCAATAACAGATTTTGTTTACGTCTCATTTAAAGCCGTTATATCCTTCATTATAGCTTTTGCCCGGTAGCAGTCGGGTAGCACTAGTCAAAATATTAGCCCGTGGGGAGTTTTCCTCCCCCCACGCCTTGCAATTTTCAAATTAAAATTGATTGAAGTTTAAAATAGGTAAAATTACAAGGTTTTAACAGCCTGGTCAACTGCACTTATTCGATAGGACCTAGGTAGGCGGCTGAAATTTCCCATATGACCATAAAAATATTTATATTAATCGTGCTGACATGACAGTGATAATTTCCGTGTTCCGAGGTTCAGTATAGGAGGTCTGGTTACTACGAAATTTGAAACCGCTGGTCTTTTGCAAGCCCTGAGAGTCTCATAGCAACGGAAAAACCAATCAGAGAGTGCAACAGTTGCTATCCGACATAAACTAAACGACGTAAGTAATATGGCCTCCAAAGAGCGGTGAATCTCAAGGCGTGAACAGTATTTTTTCAACTCTATTCTCTTCTAAAAGGAGCCTAGAGGGATCTGTTATGGCCGATAATGAACTAGGGGGTGAAATCAGTGACAATGAGAGCGATCTGAGTCTTCACGGAGAGAGCGAATGTGAGGGTGAAGACAGCGGTGGCGAAGATGTTCGGGAGCCCGTCACTGGAACGACACCAGACGATCGAACAGCTACTCCCAAGAAATCAAAAGCTAAAAAGAAGAAGAAAAAGTGAGAAAATGTTCCAAAAAAAATTAAGGAATATACTCAGGGATGAATTCTAAGAGATTTCTTTACACGCTCATCGCCAGCGATTATTGATTGTAAACAAATGGGTTTCTGTTTTTCAGGTGGATGAACGTGTGCTTGACAAACTGCAAGTATGATAGTGGTAAGTATCTTCTATCAGAAAATACAATCAGCACTTCTTTTGAAATTGAGACCTCATCCACGTTTTCTCTGCCGTAACTGATTATTTTAATTTTCTTTCAACAGTTCGTAGGGTAACGAAACGATTCGGCATGAAAGAAGTCGGCGAGGATGAAGATTGGGCTTTGTTCTGGACAGATTGCTCTGTTGCTTTGGAACGTTGTATGGACATGAAACGGTACCAGGTGCGTTAAAACTACACGACAAAGACAGTAAACTATCGATCTATCGATATTTCCATTTCTTATGCTTCGAAATTTACATACATACAGTCTCGTTTACCCTTAGAATTCAAGCAATGATTAATTAGTTCATATCCTCCATCGTTAATTTGATCTTGAACATGAAAATGCAGGTGCACTAATAGGCCTAATTTTCAGTGTGAGGCAGTGAGTAAGCTTTGTCTTTTACACACTGAAGCTCGTTGATAACATGGTATATCCTGGAGGCTGGAACATTTTTGATGCTTGTATAGCAACGTTTCAGCTGTAAAATGTCACACTTAATCATGAAAGCGTTTAATGGTAATCTTGTTGCCAGCTACCTCATAATTTTGAATTTGAAATTCATGTAAAGAATGAGAAAAACGGGAATATGTATTCATTGTTAATGATAATCTGGCCTGCGAAGTTGTAAATGTCTCTTAATTAGTTCTTTAAAACACGCACTCTTTCAAGCACACAGCTGTTTGTTGACATGATGTGTAAATGAAAGGGACTGTTGCTATTATTAAATATCTTTATTTGGAATCGAGCCCTTGAGAAGCATTTCTGAATTGTTATTTTAGAACTATTACTGAAAAGGTTTGATGAAACTATGATAAGGAAATACAGTACCATATGATTATAATGTTAAAAGCACTAAGTAAAATGATATTTTTCATAAACCCTGTAAAATCATGGGTTAGCTGATACCAAGTAGTTGTAATGACTTTGTAATAAGTGCATTGAGCTATTGATGAATAGGTGATGGGGTTTAGTTGTTGGCTTGACTTTTGTTCCTGAGCAAGTTACCAATTTACAATTACAATGGACCTTCATATATTGCCCCTCTTCCATTTTAGAGTATTGAAAGAAAGGCTAGAGGTGACCTTGCGATAGGCTAACATCCTGTCCAGAGGGAGAGGCAATACTTTCACTTACTTAATGCTATAAAAATCGTTACAAGCAGTTGTTAGATTGGTTCATGAGGCGAGAGATTAGATTCAACCTTTACCAGATAAATCTAGTACCATCCACAGGCATTTAGTGGCACAGATCTAAAATCTTTCTCTCCTTCCTTGTCTGTGCATTGCCTTTAATTACCATGCAAATAATTACCAGTATCTTAAAAATTTACCCTTATTCTTGCTTATCAACCTTTAAACAGAAAATAAACCATTTTCCCGGTATGAGTGAGATTTGCCGCAAGGATCTTTTGGCAAGGAACATGAACCGTTTATGGAAACAGTTTCCCAAGGAGTATGCTGTGTTTCCTAAGACATGGTGCTTGCCAGCAGAGTAAGTGACCTGTTTCATTTTCCAGAATTGCCTAGAACGAGTCTGTTTGTCCCTAATGTCATTTTTAAGGACAAAATATATGTAGCTCAGCTTAACAAGGGTTTGGGAATTTTAAGCAGCTATTTTATTTTCACCTGCATATCATATTCATTTTAGGCTATGAATCATTAGTTATTCTAACAAGGTATTATAAATTTTTTGCAAGAATTTTCAATCAGCCCTGCATTTTTTTTTTTCACGGAATGCTGTTAAATCGGCCCACAGACAACCCAAAATAATTAGAGTTACACAAAATAATTCTCTATTTGTGTATGTCATTTATTATCCCTAGTGCATAAAAAAAAGCCCTAACACTGTTTGATCCTCCTTTTCGATTGTTTTCCTTTTATTTCCATTTTGGACACAAGGAAGGTTTGATATTGCATGAAAAGTCATAAAGATCAGCCCAATATTTGATACCATCCCTTAGTTGCATTATAAGTTAAATGGTAACTAGTTTCTGTGAGGTATGACCCATTGATAGTTTCTTAATTCTTTCACACCCAAGTGTTTTCATGTAAGGCTTCAATTTTTGCATAAACTTGAAATATAGTTTGACTGTAATCAATTGATACAATAGGTAAAACAAAACTTTACCTTAAATACTGACCATGATGAAATTATGACAGCTAGAAAATTAACATGTTGGCTTTAAAGTAATGGTATTTTCTTTTTAATGGCATTTAGTTATGGAGAATTACAAGCATACTGTCGACAGAAGAAGAATAAAACATTTATTCTCAAACCAGATAGTGGTAGCCAGGGAAAGGGTATTTTCCTGACCAAGAATCCAAAGGTCGGTTTTATAACTCATGTTTCAAAGGTCCAGTCAAGTTGTAGAGAATTGTTTTTAAATCTTGCACTGATTGTGTCTATAGCTGTAGGTAATGGACCAAACCAATAAAAAAAAAAAATTTTCCTATCTTCACAATACAACATCTTTATAGTGTGCTGTGAAGATTCTGTTGTTTAATCGTAGAGTCACCACATGGTTTTTGTGCTTTTTTGAAAAGCTTTTTCATTGCTGCACCACTTCAATGAATTTTCTGTAAGATTTGCTTTACTGAATTATCATGGAAAGTGCAAGTAAATATCTGATAGTTGATTTGAAAATGGAAAAGTCAGTGTTCTGTATCTTGGACAGAAAATTGTAAAAATTGGTTTCCAGCAGAACTATCTTGCATTGGAAGCTGCATTAATTTTTTTTTTTAAGTTCCTGAGCCAAATATGCTGATACCCAAAATGATTTTCTGGCAAATATAGTAAATTTTTTCCTTCTTTTTGTTAAAAGTGAGGGTGAAATTTTCCTTGATGTAACCTATTTGCCAATTTAGTACATTTGGATGTTTATTACATGCTAAGACAGAACGACTGAAATGTGTTCCTTTACTAATATTGAATAAATTTAATATTAACTCATTTTTCTTTCTTCTGATTAACAGGATATTAAGCCAGGTGAACACATGGTTTGTCAGCAGTATGTCTCCAAACCCTTTCTTATCGATGGATTTAAGTTTGATCTGAGGGTGTATGTGCTGGTTACATCTTGTGATCCTCTCAGAATATTTGTTTATGAAGATGGTTTGGGAAGATTTGCTACCCTAAAGTACATGGAACCAAGTAACCACAATGTGGTGAGTACAATAAGTCAAAGAAAAGCTTTCTCAAAATTGTTAGAACCTACACTGCATAGTGTGTACTTGTATGCAGGGATTGAAAATTGAAGATATACCTGTAATTCGCACAGCCTGAAGTAAAATTTTGCCAATAGATACATGTAATCAAACTACAGCTGCAATAATAGCAAATATCTAGTGCACAATTCTGTATGTGTTAAGTCAGTTTAATAATTGAATAACTTTGACCTTGTTTCCATTATGATAGTGACTGGGTACATTTGTGATAGCAGGTCCCTGAGGCCTTGCATAATTTAAAGGTATTCTGCCACCAACATTGAATGCTAGTTCCCCTGGTGCAATTTCTTTATAATTAATTTAATTGATTGCAATCAGTTTACCTGAGGACCAGGCACTGAATCTACTGCAGTGATATTTGAAATGTATAAACTCTTGACAGAAAAAGTTGCAAAAAAAATTTACAAACTGTTTTTCAAGATGCGTAGAATGAATTAAGTCTTAAGAAAATGGGAAATAAGGTGGGAGTCTTTTCCAAGCTGCTATTACTGCTTATAATAACAGGTTGAAATCTTTTGTAAGTGCGAGCCATTGTGAAATGATAAATTAAACCATGTTTTCGAGAATGTCTTAAATGAAACTTTTGTAATCCTCCAAATTGTGCACAAATCCTGTAACAGTTATAAAACTAACTGTATTTTACAGGAGACTTTATGCCATTGTTAATTTGTACATTAACATTATTTTTTAACTGAGCAAGTGTACTTTTGTTTAGGATGACACTTGCATGCATCTTACAAACTATGCTGTAAACAAACACAGCAAAGATTTCATAAGAGATGAAGAAACTGGGAGTAAAAGGTAAACAAATTATGATTTATTTATTTATTTCTTTATTTTCCTAATACTTACTCTCCATCTATGCAATGATGTCAGCGACCTATATAACACTAAGGATAATACTTATAAGGATAAATATAATAATACTACTGATACAATGAATATATGAAGTTCATATATTTTGAACTGCGGTTTTAGATACGTATGATGCACGATCCTCGCAGTAGAGAGCGCTATCTACTGTGCTCTCTACTGCGCTCTCTACTTCGAGGATCGTACATCATATGAATAATACTGCTATTAATAATAACACCAAGAAATGATACTTTGCATTTTTAGTTTACTTGTGACTGGAAAGTGAACCTGAAATTACCAGTATTTCTAGAATATTTTGAAGTTATGTGTAAACAGATTCTTGAACTGTTGATGGAAGCTTTGTGTCTGATTAATCAAAACATGGTTCTGTCATCCTTTTTAGCGAAATTACAAGTTATTAAAACTGGATGATTTATTGTATTTCAGACGGATAACAACAGTAAATAGGTGGTTTACAGACAATGGTTATGATGTTAAAGAAATCTGGTCATCAATAGAGGTGGGTTATAGTCATCAATTGAATTGATTGAGTACATTTTCAAAATTTACCAACATGGAAAAAGAAAGGTTAATTAAAAGCACTTAAACACTGACTTATTTATGTACAAGTATTTTACTGTTACTATACACTTTAAGTGTCATACTTTAGGCTTGCAAAATTTCATGTAGTGGCTGACTTACTTGACTACCATAATTTTTTTTCTTTGTTTTAACTGTTGTTGTCTTAACTTTCTTTTAGGATGCTATTATTAAAACCTTGATCACAGCACATCCAATACTGAAACACAACTACAGGACCTGTTTTCCAAACCACAACAAAGGCAGTGCTTGTTTTGAAATCCTAGGCTTTGATATTCTGCTGGATAGAAAGTTGAAAGCTTGGGTTTTAGAGGTAAGAATTTCAATTAAGAAAGATGTTTAGGAAGAGAAATGGGTTGGACTGAATGTACTGTACTTAGTTCATGGCAAAATTCAATTTTACCTTGATGTTTTCAAACCACAGAGACTTTTTTTTGTGAAGTATAAAGTGAATATATAATAAAAAGTTAAATCAAAGTACTAGTTTCACAAATTTCAACCAGAGTAAAGTTTAAACAACACCATCAATGTAAAAGATGTGTAATGAACACTCTTTTTCAATGTTGATTTTCAGGTAAACCATTCTCCAAGTTTTACCACTGACTCGCCCCTTGATAAAGAAATTAAAGAGGGACTGATGTTGGATGCCCTCACTCTCCTCAATTTTGGTGCATGTGATCGCCGCAAGATACTTGAGGAAGACAAAAAGAGAGTACGGGACAGACTTCTACAGAAACAAAGACCTAAAGAAAACAAGTATGTTTAACAGTTTTTTTTTATTCTTATTAGTAAGACTAATGCAAGTGAAGGTCCATAAAGAATTGACTTATCTGCTTTGGAACAACTGCTCAGACCTTAAACTGCCAAGATATGTTTGTTAATTCTCCCCTCTTCTAGTTGCCTCGCAATTACTAGTAAATTAGGTATGAGAATTTGGTTTTAGATCAAGGTAACATCCTCTAACTGATAAATTGGAGTATTCTCATTACAATGTACCTGTTTACTGGATAATGTATGGATATTATAGGGAGGAATTACACATTAATCACTTCTGGAAATTGAAGGGTTAAGGCAGGTTATCAAACTTCAGAAACTCATAGAAGTCCCCACCAGTCAAGATTTTTCCAATAAGTACATGATACAGATTCTTCATGTCAGAGTCGGCTACACGTACACGTACATGAACAGTGCATGAACAGTGCCAATATATGACTTGTGAAAAATTTACAGCAAGTGTTGAGTTTCTAGAGACCACTAGGCTCACCCTGAACTGACTTTTGTTTTTCAAGGAAAGACGATTTTGATAACCAATCACAGTACACTGAGTGGTTGAAGAAGTACGAAGATAGTCACATGGGTAAATACAGGTAGGAAGTGCTTTGTATTCTACTGCAATGTGTATATATATCTGCAAGATTTTAAGTTGTAAATGTAAATTTCATTGTATCCTTTTGTTACTTTAGACGCATTTACCCTGAAGGAAATGAAGAAAAATATGCGGTTTACTTTGAGAACAGTTGTTCCTTGTTCCAAGAGACAACAGCCTCCAAGGCTCGTATAGAGTGTTCTAGGTAAGAAGACAATTTTGTTACACTCATCATTATAATAGTGTGCATTTAAGCCATAACTTGATGAAATCTCTCTGCCATTAGAGACCAGTTTTCAGAGAAGCGGTGGTCACTCTGTTCCATCCCACCTTCAAAGTCTTCTTCTCTAGTCTGACATTGCCGTGGGGCCCTTTCGGGGGTCGATAGACATCTAAGATAACTACACGTTAAATGAAAACATTAGAGGATACAGTATTTAAGCGTAAAGATATCATAAGTTTTTCAAAAGATTTCAATTCTACCTACATGTTTATGTCAATAACTTTGTACAAAATTGTATTTGAAGAATGGTCTTAGCTCATTTTGTGTTCTCACGTGGTTTGCAGAGTTCAACGTGAACAAATCATGGCCAAACAACAAGAAATGGAGAATGCGAGGCTCAAAAACAGTGGGAGGGCTCCCAAAGGATCCAAAGATGGTCTTAGGCCAGAGAGTCCTCAGAGTCGAAAGCCAAGGAGGCCCCCAGTCAGGAAGATGGTCCAAACTGGTAAAGCAAGATTTGAGGTACATGATAAGTATGAATTTATTATTTTTATTCATGCAAACGTTCCATCAGTATTATGAAATGCAGGGGGGTAATCTTGCGATTGAGCAGAATCCCATACAGGGGAGTGGGGGTAGTGATAATCTTAACCACTGGGTTACGCTCTGTCTGGGTGGGCTACTTGGCTCCAATTCCAATACCACACCTTGTATAGCACTGACACGCCAACTTTCTTTCTCCAGGTCGGTAGAAGAACCGTCCAGGAGCAAACGGACACCACCAAACCAACGTTGATATCGGAGGAAGAAGAACTGGAGAGAATCACTTGTCTCATTCAGCGGGATAATCTGATAAGGGGACTGGGCGTGGTCGAGTTTGTGTACAAGCTGTTACACTGTACACCCGGAACTGGGGGACCACAGAAAAACTGCTCCTTACACCACTCGGTGAGTTACCAGCGTATAACCCAACAGGTGAAAATAACACCCTCGTAAAACACAACATCCCCAGAGAAACACTGAAGGAAAGACCAAAGGAGCGTTTCTTCCAACAATTATTTTACTCGCAGTTCTCCGGAAGTAGCCTTTAAATATACCATTAGGTCATTTTAGGTATATCATTTTAGGTATATCAATTGCAGTTTCTGCTATCCTTATAGGCTCTTAAAATTTATAACCCTTTCGGTGGAGTGTCCGTGCATAATATAGAGGGGTTGTCCCGGGTGAAGTGGGGGGCGGGGACCAGATAGCTGTACAAAGTATTTTGCAGTATGTCACTCATATGAAAAACGCGACATGCTTCATTTGTCATGCCTAACAAGACAATCTGATATAAAAAGCAACTATTTCGAAGTACTGAATCACCCTCTCTCTCTTCTCAGAACACTAAAAAAGATCCATCGTCCAAAGGTAGCTCTGTTGGCGGCCGTGAGATAGGAGGTGGCCTGGAAGACAGACACTCGGCCATGTATGGCTCTATGGGATTGCTATCAGCATCTGGAGGAGTAACCGCTGTTAACAATACAGTCGCAGCTCAGTTGTCTCGGTTCCAGGCTTATCAACCCGTCTCTCTGTCTGCTGTAATGAGCTTCAACTCCATCAATCAACAAGCGCCTCCGACTTTGACACGAAACGATCGTCGCGCTCTAGCGTCGGTCGGCATAGTACCATCAGCTCCCACGGGATTGCCTAAACACAGATACAGCTCAAGAAAAGTTTCCACAAGTGGAAGAGCAGTTAACGGCAATCCAGATTACGACTGGAGATCAGGATCAACCACTGGGATCGAGACCACTAGCCTTGCATATAGCTTGATTGATCCCAGACTCGATAACCAATCAAACGCCACCTTAAAACGTCGGACATTGAGCGCTACAGGGCTTAAAACTTGTGGAGATTCCATTCAAGGGACGCGCGTGGTGAATCCGCGCGTTTTGGCCACGGGTGGCATGGGAGGGTCACAGACTACTCTCTCCAGTTCAGGAGGAGTGTCGCCTGGTGTTAATGCGCAGCAGTATATGTGTTCGATGTACGGGTTTCCCAATGTGCTCAAGGTGGCGCCGCAGCCTCAAAATGGAATGAACTTATCTGTGATATCTGGCCCAGCCCCCGTGAATCATCGACCAAGTCTAGCCAACAGTAGTAAAGCACCCGAACAGTCTGGCTCGCCCCACAGGTTTACAGGGTCGCCATCAGCTCTCTTGAAGTGAGTTTCGTTCCAAATCACTCTTTACTGTTTAGAGTTCTTATCGCCGACTGGGTGTCGTGAACCAAAACCACAAAAACAACGCCACTGAAAACCGTCGTTGTTCTAGTTTTGCATCTTATGAAGGGTAGATTTTTCCACCAGTTGTAGAAAGCTCACGGAAGCAAAACCAAAGGGGTCCAGGTTACTCACTCGAAAATCTGACTTGGGCGACTTTTGAAGATTGCTATTTATATTTGAAATGTGATCTACTTACTGCTTGATTTTGATGCTAGAAATGTGTAAGTGCCTTAAAAAATAAATGGTCGTGCTAACCTATATTGATCCCTGGCAGGTCAACTAAAGCCCAAAGAGCCCGCGGAGCTACCAACAATATGCGCCTGAAGGTAATTCATTATTCATTTATCATCGTATTAAAAGCAGTGTTTGATCTGTTGGGCCTCTAACCTGACATGAACAGTTAATCGATGAAACCTAAACGTCAATGTTTTAACTCGTAATCTGGGAGGTCTTACTTAATA